ATTATATAAAGCTGCTTATGATCATGATTCAAATAGCTAACAATTTTTTTATTCAGATAAGATCATTTATTCCTCAGGACTCAAATTCATCTCAAGTCAACACTTTATTCCTGGAATTTCTTCATCTGACTGCAAGAGAGTCTATGAAGCTTTGACCTAAAAAATTAGGTATTTCCCCAGGACATTCTTAGAAGTGAAAACTTGTGTTTAATTTTGTGAGTATTATCCTGGTTAGAAGGAGATAAAAGAATAGCAAAACCAGCAGTGGTTAAATATCATACATGTTCATCTTTTGGCATATTAGCCGAAGTCACACTGATATTTCTCATTGTCTCAGTGTTAATAAATATTACCAGGTAGGTTTTTCATATGCTAATGGCTTAAGACAACTAGATCAAAAATTCCCAAACCATGTAGTAAACCAAAACCTAGCTGAGCACAGTGTTTGGTCGAGTTTGTTTCTAAGGTTGTGTGATTGTACTGCGTGGGAGAAGTATGATGTTTGCAAGCATAAGGTGTCCTGAGTTGGGTTACTTTTATTGGCATTGTTAGATTTCATGGCTTATTAAGACTGAATATAATATTGATTGATGCCAAATGCACACAAGAGAATTCAAATGATTATGTGATACCCAGCTGGTGTACATTAATACATACAGCAAGCAGGAGCATTTGTGTTATCAGTGATGATAGAGCTTGTGCAGTATTGTGTATTATTTTTTGAATGTAGCTATGTTAATACAGTGATGTGAGTTTGCTAAAGGATTGGCACATTAATCTACTTTTACTTCAGCTTTCTTCTGACCCACTGATGTGAACTTAAGGTCCAGCTTAGCTCAGCTCCATTTCTGTTTTCTTGCTACAAAGATTTCTGTGCATTTTCTATAGACTAAAAGGTTTCATTTATTTTCTACTTTTGTATCTAGGACCAGGTTCTTTATTTTCACAATAAAGCATGGGGTAAGGGAGTTCAAATGCTAGCTTCATTCAGAAATCACTCCGTGTCATCAGTAAAAGACAATTCCTCTCTTTAAAAAAATCCCCCGCAGGCCTCTGGGGCAGCATCTTTACTGTCATTGAGATCCTTGATGCCTCAGCAGACACTGTGTTGAAATTATGCATTTTCTGGAGGATCTGTTTGGCAATGTTGTGAATTATTTCCTGCTTTTCACTTACTTCAACATGCTTTGCCAGAAACTCTGTTTACCATCTCTGGGAATGGAAAGCAATTATGTGGCCTCATCTGGGCAAGCTCTACACAGATCATCTGTATGTGGTCATCCCCCTTTATCATTATACTTTTCAGAGCTGTCTGAGACTAAGTCAGAAAGCATTAACTCCCAGCAGTCTTACCCCGTAGATGTGCTTCGGATAGCCTGTGTTAATGCTTAGTTTATATGTTCATTTGGATGAGAAGAACTCGAGATCCTATGTGACTTTCAGGGGCCAACAAGATAGTAAAGCATTTTGCTGTGCATGAGCTATCTTGCAGCTGTACAGTGGTCTAGCTTGTACGCCTGCCCAGACTCACAAAAACACCACGAAAGCAGGGCTGTAAAGCCAAGCAGCTGGCAAGTCTCTCAAAATATTCAATTGGCTTAAACAGGCATTTGGTCAAAAGTTACATGTAGCTCAAGTGGCCACCAGGACATACACCATAAAACTAGGTTAATTTGTTATAGATGCCAGTAATTTTGTGTCATTGATAACTTTCTCTTGTAAGTTTTAAAGTGTGCTAATAATCTTTTAATATCACAGTCTATGAACTCCAGATTGGCTTTGACCTGCGTGCATTTTTCTCACTGCGACAATGAAAATTCTTCTTCAGAACATGTAGCTCAGATTAAAGTGAAAACTCAGTGTAATTTTTTAGGCTAAAAAAGCTTGTTTGTTTGTTTGTTTTTTTACCAGGTATCCTAAATAAGCAAGGCCTGAAACCCAAATTATATATATGCATTTTTTGTATGAATATGAAAGCTGTTGAGTGTCCTGGCACAAGATTAAATCTTCCCAAAAGCCTCATTTCTATAGACTTATCCTGCTTCTGTTTTCTTTCTCTTCCAGTTTTCATCACAACAACCCTTATCATTTTATGAGTCTCTCATTTTATCACCGTATCTCCATTGTTAGTAATAAACAGCAAACAGTACACAAGTAATATCCCAACTTTTCTATTACAGGTTATTTGAAGGCTATATAGCTTTGTTTACAACAGTGGAAATTTTAAAGCTAGTAACATTCAAGCTCAAGAGCCACAAATCTCTTCTGTATAATTTCTCCTCTCACAAAAAGACCGTTGACATAAAGTTGATATTGGCGTGACTTTTTTTACAGTTGTCTTTTGGTCTAGAGGGCTGTAGTCCTACGGTGGCTGAGCCTTCAGCAGAGTTGACAGGAGATGTTAGTTGAGGGACCTGTTCACAACCCCCACAGAAGCCCCAGGCTGAGGTTTCAGTGCTGTCAGAGTTGAACAAGATGGAGGAAGTTGAGCAAAGAACAGGTTAAATGAGGATTTGACCGTGGTTTTGGGGGCATGCTGATTTCAGGTCAACTGTATATGCATATATGAGGTAAAGGTACCTAATTTGGAATTAATTTCTGTTCTTATGAAAATAACACAGATAGCTTTGATGGGAAGCAGAGAGGTTTCTCATACAAAGCTTTCCTTGAATGCAGTGGAGATTACTTGCCTAAAAGGTGTTTCCAGAGGCATGAGAAACAATTCTTTCCAATTCATTTGTTCTTCTCTTTGAATGGGTAACAATTGGAAACACAGTCTTTTCTGCTGTTCTCCCTTTCCAGGCAGTCCCAAAGGACACACAGTTTGCAGAATACTGCCAAGAGTTAGGCTCATATTTTCACTTAAATCTTCTCACGTTTCATAAAACCAAAGTAAAACACCACTGAGGGGGAAAAGAGAAGACAGCGAAAACTTGGCAAAGTTTACCCTGTTATGAGTTCAGGGAGATTTTTCCCCTTCTCTCTTATGATCTTCATCCAAAGAGGAAACAATTCATATAGTGTATGGGACTGAGTTAATTGACTTTTGTGAAAGTACTTCACAAGAACAATGTGTCCAGAAGTTTGGAATAAGCTCATATTCCAGTGTTGTCCTCAAGAGTGTATGTTTGTGCTGGTTGGCTGCAAAATTACTGGGTTTTTTTCTTAGTACAGTGTGTCATGTCAAATCACTTGTCTCTCTGCATTAAAGCCAAATGAAAAGCCACACCAGTTAATACACTTTAATTATAAAGACCATAATGCTGTGAGATAATGTGCCGTTTGACATTTCTTTGCATATTTAAAAATAATAGTTGAAGTTTAACACAATTGAGTTGGTTTAGCAAAATGGCTATTTACCATATATTTTATTAAAAACGTATTTGAAATTTAATTGAAATTTAATAGAATTTATTTTTTAAGGCTGTAATGAAAGCCATTTCTTCTTCCTGCCCTTAAGATAGATTTTGTGCACTATGAATTCCATTTTAACCACAATTCTAAAAAGGAATGTGCATGTTATGCATGACTTTTCTGCTATTCTTTCTTTTATTTCTGTCTTTTGCTGTTAAGTTTCCTCAGCACATTGTTAGACCCAGCTCTGGCAAGAAAGTGATTGATATGGCTCTTTGAGCCCTGGCTAAATAGCTGAACGTACAGTTATTGTGTCTGCACTTGGAGAAAAAAAAAAAGAAATGCAATTAAATTCATCTCAACTTCAGTAACATGACATTTCTGTTTCTTTCATGTCAGCCTTTATTCTCTTCTATAATCAGATTTTGTAACCCCTTCTATAATGTCTCCTCACTTCAGCAGTCACTAAATAGGATGCTTGTGTTGCAAGTTAATTAGAGATTCTCATGCATGCGGGTTGACTTTCCTCGAATCTTTGGTGTGGATTTCACAGGAGAGCACATTTCACCAGCCAGTGAGCTGTGGGTCACAAGGTCCATATCCACTCTTGAATATCCCATCTTTTTGGTATTACACATGCTTGTTCTGTTTCCACTTGGAAACTGTATTCCTTTGACTACATCAGGCAATAGGAATTATCTGTGTAATTTTTCAATAAATTTCAATACATTTTTCAGAGTGCAAAGAAAGCTCCTAGGAAGTAATTCTTCACCCTTTGTATTGACAGAAGTCTGCTAGGATAAGATTTACGACCTTTTCTATCAGACACCACTAGAATGCAGGAGGGTGATGGGAGAGAAGATGAAAAGGGGAGGACAAAAGTTCTCCATCTTTTTTGTCTTTGCTTATAATTGTAAATTTCAAAAATATACAGCATTAATACTTAGCTCTAGGGAGACATTTGTAGAGCATAGTGAAGGGTTAAAAAAAATCCTTGGGGAATGAGTTGGGTTTTATCTAAATCTACTTCAAAAACTTTTATAAGTGTAATTAAAAAGTCATCTTTAGGCTTGTTAAGAATTACTATTTCTTTATGAAATGTACCTAAATAACTCCCATAAAAAGCTTTAAAGAGGGAAACCTCCCCTACTTGGGGATTTGCTTGGGTACACAGGCATTATTGTTATACAATTAATTTCTTTGTTTTAGCTTCAGTGTTCCATCCCCCAGCCTTATCTCCCCACTCCTATCCACCCCATACTGTTGTTTCCTATAATTAGAGAAGATACACATCTGTCTTCAGGCTACCACCTAATCTCTAAGGCCATATGGGTAAATGGAATATAATTATAATTTGGTAGGAACTGAGCCTTCTGCACATGGTTATATTGTTCTTGTTCTTTTTAACGTAGGCAAGTAGAATCTATAATATAGCAGGGCTTGAAAAATGGGGTTAGTCCTTGCAAAGTACATACCTTTTAGATGGACATTTCATGTGTTAAATTGGGGTGGGAATTACACAGTTTGGGAGGAGTTCTAACACAATGTTACCACAATATGCAAGCATCCTGCATACTGTGAAGCAATCATCTGTGGTTATATGCAAAATATTAACAGAGGTCATTTTTTGTCCCCCTCTTTTTCAGTTATTTTTATTTCAGTTGCTGCGAGGACTGTCTTACATCCACCAGCGTTACATTTTGCACAGGGACCTGAAACCACAGAATCTTCTGATCAGTGACACGGGGGAGTTAAAGCTGGCAGACTTTGGTAGGCAAGCAGTTAATTACAAGTCTCTTATAATGTTGTAGGAATGTCAGACAGATGGTTCCATTGATTTCTCTTTCCCCCCACCCTATTCCTTAGACACACGTTCTTTATTGTAGATAATTGCACATTTTTCTCCTGAGCGAAGAAATTGATTATGGTCAACAAAATGCTTGATTAAAAGGGAGCAAATGAAAAACAAATATATACTCCAGTTCTCACCAGAAAAATAATGCTGGTAATAGTTCGGTTTTTCTTCCTGTGAGACCTCTGAATTAGAATTCAGAACCTTTGAAAAGGAGAGATGAAGAAAGAGGGAGCAAGAGTTGAGGAAATACAGAATATGTGAAGAACGCAAGCACTTGATACAAGCAGCTTTAGGGTTGTGGAGATCTGGAAGTAGGAGTAACTTTTATAAAATGATGATTGATTGAAAGAGAATGAAGGATATAAGAATATTTATTCTTTCTAAAGATGAAAGGAAACTAAGATCATCTGGACTGCTTTCAGTATCCATTCTTAGTCCCTTCTGGGGAGTATATATATGAAGTAGGAGTATGTATGTAAAGTATAAAGGCATGGGAAATTGTCCACTGGAAGATTGCCCTTTTTGTCTTTATAAATGTATTTTAAAGTACTTTCTAGTGGATGCACTGGAGCAGTACTCTTTCTTACAAAAATGATTGTGAGATGTGGAACATGACAGTGTAATTCTTTAGTGGTTTTCACAACATGTAGGAACTTGTCTTTCTCCTGTAGGTCAAGTTTTCATTTACTGATTCCAGCAGAACTTCTGATATAAGCTGAAAATGTGGCCTATCAGCTTTTTTGAAATGTCTTTTATTTTTATGACTGCTATCCACATCAGGATTCACATTTCATTCACCAGCAGTAATGAGGAAGCCTTATGTGCTAATTGGCAATTTCACTGTTGATGTAGTCATGTTTTTTGTCTTTTAATTAGTATTACTCCAATTAACAGTTTGGTGTGTATTTGCAGTGCTGGAGAAGGGAAGGAAGTTCAGGTAGACATGCTCCACAACTTAATTGGCCTGTAGATTGTGAGGTGGTTAAAGAAAGAGCACTAAATTAAAAAAAATATACATCTATTTTTTCACGTGGTTTTCTGTTACTGTTTCTCAAAACTTGGAAGATACCAAAAGCTTCTTAAATGTTTTAAATAAGCTTTCCCACATCTTTTATTCTTAAATTAATGCAGCATATGAATTGTGAGAGTGTTTTTGATTGTAGCAGAAGTATAAATTAATTCTCTGTTGCAGGTGTTGTGCTGTTTGTTTGAAATGGCTAGTTTTTTTTTAATGTCATTTATATCTGCAATACACTGTGCAGTTATCTGGAATATCCCCGAATATATCTATATTATAAATTCTTTAAGATGTTACTATGATGGTCCTCCAATTTGGAGGATACTGGGAAATCTGTTGATAATCTTGCAGTCTCTTTTGTTATTTTGAGTGCTTCATATGATCATATGATGCTTTGTATTTTATTTTATTTCTTTCTTTTCTTTATTTTCCCCCTGAAGCTATATGTCCAATTTGAAGCTTTTTAAAAAGAAAAGTCCATTCCAGAAGAATATTTAAAAAAATATCCCCCTAGAAAATAATCTGCTATAATAAGTTAGTCACGATAATAAGAAGTAATAAAATAATCATCTATCAGATACAGATATAGTCAAATCCATTGTAACTTTGCATTCACTTTTTGTTTCTCTGGTTATAGTCTCTCTTGAGCTTGAAACCCATGTTAGGTTGGTTAGTAAATGTATATAATGACACTGATTCTCATCTTAGACTGCAAGGCATTGCTATGTACTCAGTAATATAAAGGTAAAACAGTCCCACCTTGATTAAATTCGTTGGGTAAGTATTGCTCCATTTGTAGTATAATGAAGTTCCTCTCAAGCAACTTGTCTGATAAGACACATCAGAGTAACCAGTCTTAGGTCTTCACGTCTTGTTATAATGTTTAGTGAAATCTCTGGATTTCACTATTAAAGCCTATTAAAAATTAAGAGAAAATTAGAAGTTTGAAAAAGTCAGTGGCCTCTGCTAAATTCCACAGTAGCCTTGGGCAAAGTTCAGTAGCCTCTGTTTTTTGGTTGTGGGCAGGGAGCCTACTGACTTTTCAGCCGCGTTCTTAAGAAAACAAACTAAAAGCCTCTCACCAGCACTTCTAAGCAATTTGTTGGAAATGTGAGCTGATCAGTGCAGTGTCCAACTCAGATGCACAATTGATTGTTCTCTGGGTGTGCAGGCTGTTGTGGCCAGCAAAACAGAAGAAAGACTGGGGTGTTTGTTCTGCTTTGTCTGCTTTCACCCCATTGTAGTAGGAAATAGAACTGTCTTTTTTTGCCTCAGTGCAGCACGAGGCCAAATGTGCCTTCAGTGACACCAAAGGCAAGATTTTCTCAGCTTTGTATTGGCAGAAATTAAAGGTTGACAATTTTGCATATGAAATGAAGAATAGAAACATGGAAGGTAAAAGCAGAAAGAAATAACCAGTAGTAGGCATACAAATGTATAATAATGTGGTAAGGATTTTTTTTTTTTCTGCTTGTAGTTTGTCTTGACCTAACAGAAACATCTGTGTAATCTACTCTTATATACTGGGAGGAGATTCTATGTCTCTGTTTTTTTTCAAGCTGTATTTTCTTTCATGGCTGATGACCTTGTAAAATTGAAAACCAGATGGGTTGAATTTCTCTTCTGAGAACCGAGTTGAAAAATTAGAAGTGATGGGGTTGAAGTCTGAAGGGTTGTGACCTCTCTCACTGGAGGCACGAGAAATGAGAGCGCACACGTGTGCGCACGCAGGCATACATGTGTGCATTTACTTCTTAAACAAGATGTAAAATAGAGGTTTGCTTCTCTTTATGTTTTTCTCCCACAATTTCCTAATTCATGATAATGTGCTTGGAGAGGAAGTTGGTTTAGATTATGCTTTTGATTAATTACATGAGAAGCAGTATGGAAATTAGAGAAATGAGTGCTTTGTTTTTAAATGCACTCAGGGCAGAAAAGAACCTATCACAAAATCAGTTTCTGTCAGAGATAGGATTGACTTTGCCAGCACAATAAATATGAAATCCTAGAGCAAAGGCCTTTTTGTCTCTAAGGAGAAGACCTTTATATTTTGGTTTCATAAGTTTTCAAAAAAACAACAGCTTGACTGAAGGTTCTTAATTTGGAGTGAGGCTTATTTAGTCTCCTCAGCATAGGATATCAAATACTTAAAAGCAGGCTGTACTAGATCAGAGTTCTTGAATAAACAAGGTAAAAGAAAGGCTATTCATGCCTGCAGTGCATTGCGTTGCAGCTCAAGTGGAATCTTTGAGCAACCGTGGGCATGTGTTTTTCTACTGCACAGCTCCCAGACATTGACACTCGGCTGTGTGGGAGCGCCTTTGTTCGGCTGAGCGGCAGCCTGCTTTGCTGCTCTTGTGCTATAGCTGCTGTGAAATGAACATTTATGAGAATACAGCAGCAAAATGAAAAGGGATAACACAACACAGAGACCTTATCGAATTAAAAATTCATGAGGTATAAAAAATGGCTTTTCTTCAGAAGATATAATAAGGAAGACTACTACCTGAATAATTACTGCTCTGAAAAATAGTCCTTGAACTTCCTGCATTCTTTTTTCAATCTAATTAAAATTCCAGAGGAAATTAAAGTGTATTAGGGTTTTTTTTTGTTATGAAATGATTGAATAAATGTGAAAATTATTTTTGATTCTGTAGTGTAAATTTGTCTCTATTTTTATTTCCTTCCAGCACATATGTCTGTCTTGACTAGAAATAAAGTATTGTAAACCTTTAATGAGTAACACCTTAAGCAATTACAAACTTAAATGAATAGAGCTTGTTTTTGTTGCTATTTACCACATAGACTGGGCTGCACAGCTGTTGCTAAGGCTTTGGTTAGTAATTTCTTCGCTTTAACTTTTCTGTACACTGTTTACAGATGTGTTTGTTTGGCCTTTGGATGTGTATTGACTTAGAAAAAATTATCTTTGAACTTCTGTTTACAAAAGTCATTGAGCAGCTTTGAAAGCAAAGTGTGTATCTAGAATGAATGCATTTGTGTTAACGCTAGAGTGTCAAATGACTGTACAGCAGTGGACAGGAGTATGAGCTCAAAGACTAAACACTAAGAAAATGTATTTTTCAAACATTACTTGTGATCAGATGATTAATAATTAAGCAAAACAGCTACTGAAGGACACAAGTGATTTGTATTCATACTGAAAAATCATTCTTCTTTGGTTCATTTATACACGAAGCACACATTGTAAGCAGTATGTTGTGTTATTTCAGTGATCCCTTTTTCAGCATCAGAACTCTGAAAGATGTGTATCAAAGACTAGAGGAGCAAATACAGAACAAACCCTGCCAGGCATATTATCTTTTAGCACTGCATGAGGGTGCTTCTGAGTGATACTCATGCGGAAGGGTCCAAGATGTTGAAGGGGCTTAGATGGCAGCAGCTCTGCATTCTGTGAGAAGATTAAGGCACCTGAGAGGAAAATGGGTTGAGGTGAAGTAGAAGGCAACAGACTGCTGAGGAGGCAAAAGTAGGGGGCTGAAGGAAAATAAGAGAAGAAATATGCAGTTGTGGAACATGATGGCCCTTTGCTAAGTGAGGAAGAAGACTCACATAGGGATGCAGTACTCAATGACTTCCTTGTCTTGGTCTTCACAAATAAAATTTCACAGTTTTTGTTTTCTGAAACAGGGTTCAGGGAGGAGAGAAGTGAGTGGAAGAGAATTGAGTCAAGGATCTTCTCAAAAGTCTTGACTCATGCACATTCCTGGGACCAAACAGGAGGCATCTGGAGGGTACTGACCAGGATGGTTTATGTTACCATGAGGCTCTTCTCTGTCATTTTAGCAAAATTGTATCAACTAGATTAGGTCCCTAGTAACTAAGGGAAGGTGAATGCTGTTTCCACTTTTAAAAAGAGCTGGAAAGATGTTCTGG